AGAGAGAGAGAGAGAGAGAGAGAGAGAGAAAGAGAGAGAGAGCCATTCATTAGCTATAAATATATCGAGAGATTTATTTTTATTTGAATTTCTCCCCAAAAAATGCATCAAAACTATTCGTATATTCAAAATGCAAACAATTTGTGATGAGTTTAAGTGCACCTAACTATCCGCCGTACGCCCCCTCCATCCCATACATCCAGCCCTACCCCTCACAAGTTAATGTTGTTTCAATGGGTTGAAAGTACGGTAAGACACACAGGGATATTAACCCCTCCCTACCCCTCAAGTATTTGAAATACACTTAATTTACACAATAATTAATCACATATTTTAGTGGCAAATAGTTTTGACAAATATTTCTTTCCGCTAAGAATTGTTTATATATTTGTTCAGACGTTTTGCTATAAATATAACAGAATTTTTTCAATGGGACTTTTCAAAACACCCCGTGTGTTTTGTGTTTTTGTAATGCTTGTAGTGTACTTAACACATGCATCTTACCTCTATGGATTCAAACTGTACATAATACAAAATTAAATTACACTTGATGTTTATAGAAATAAGTTAATTATATTTACGGAAGAGAACGTTGAAATTATAATTGAATTTTAACCATTAATAATAATGTAATATTATTTTTAAAAATTACATTTTAAATGCTTTTTTATTAATAATAATAAAATTCATTAAATAAATATGCTAAACGCAGATTATATGATTTAACCGTGTTATCTAACGTAACCCTAAACACCCCCTCACTTAATACCCCTCGTAATCCTTGTAAATATTATAAATCGTGTGAATTATAAACTCAATTATCTCTATGTGTTAAAAGCGATAAAACAGTTTGCGAGCAAAAAATATATTAATAAATATAGTTTTTGTGTTTTAAATGAATTTCATTCATACGGTTTGGTTTCAAATATATTTTATGTATTTATATAATAAAATTTATAATAAATAGTGGGCTTAAAGGAGGGGTTGCCCTTATTTTCGCATCTCTCTCTCTCTCTCTCTCTCTCTCTCTCTCTCTGTTTTGGTGCTCACTATTAGATACAGTGTTTGAAAATAGGAAATTGCATATAATTTTATGGCCACTAAACTGAGAAAAACCGGTACTTAATATACTGTATAAGCAAAATCATGTATTTAACACTTAAACCATGTTTAAAAACACTGTAATTAAATATAAAACGGTTTAATTGAATACCATATACAGTATAGATAACAATATTTTCGTCTCACAAATTAAAATAAACCCATAATTGATAAACAGATTATACAAGAAAAAATATTATGTGTTTCAATATTTATAAGAAGTTTTATTTCATTTAAAATTAATTAAAACCCAATTTATATATTTTAGCCTAAATTATAAAATACTAAACTATTCTGCGATGATTTTATTAATTAATTAACACAAATAAATAATTTATTAATAACAATATTAAGGTAAAAATCCTTAAAATAACAATTAATTTTTAACACAATTAATATAGCTCAATCAATCACTTAATAAATTAATGCTAGCTCAACAAAATGCACATACCTTTAATAACGGTCAATTTACCGAGTGTCACACAATCATCGCGGTGCTTTTGAAGCCAATCATTGGAGCAAATAGTCTCGTCATTTAACTGACACGCTGTCTCCAGTGTGTCCATCGGTTTGGATATATTAATCCGATCGCTAATACAGTCTACGGCCAAATTGAACTCGCTCTCGCACCGGGTACGCCGGGCGTCGCAATGCAGCACACCCTGTACCTGGTGAGCCTGGCCACCCCTGGGTATGGTCAATAGTACCAAGAACATGCGAGCCCTGGCGCTTAGCGACAGGTTACCGGTATGATTGTTGGCCGATGCTATGCACACCAAGGTGATGTTGGAGTTGTCAAACACTTTCTGATTGGTTGGGCTCATTGTTACTGTCATACCGGCGCTGGGATGCAGACACCAACAGCACAGCCACCACCCGATGGCCAGCAGTAGTATTGGCAGTGAACGGCCCGGCCATGTGGTGGGGTGTAAATGCATGGTTGCTTATGGTATGGTTGTGTGAGTTGACGTGATTGGGTGGATTATGTGGGGGCAAAGTTTATATCATAACATGATTGTTTTTTGTAATTGTAAATATTGTGTGATTTTTTAAAACATACATAAGTATGAATGAAGTTGTTATAAATTTTAGCACGATGTCAATTATTTTAATTATAATTTTTAATTAAAACTAATAATTCACATACATGTAAATCGTGAACACATATGCACATGATTGATTTAATTTAAATAATAAATGTTTTTTAACATGTTCAACCATGCACACTTCACAATTGAACACAATAAATGTCATTTAAAAACACATTTTCATCACTTGTTTCCCATATAACACAAACACACTGTATATCTCTATCACTCTCTTTGATGTATCGATATATTGGCCGTCGTGTGGGAAATACGGTGTACACTATAAGGTAGTATACATTACACTAGCGATGATTACCCGGTTGTTATCAGTACACTATATGGCTGTAACTTTAATATCAAAATATATATTAAAACAAAATACAAACACTCTTTTCATAACTTGTGTTATAAATGCATTACCAAAACACACATTAAGTATAGCTTTTAATATTATATATAAAATAAATAGCAATAAAAAAATTAATTCAATGACAAAACTGAGTGAAAATCAAATAAATTATATGCGAGAGAGAGAGAGAGAGAGAGAGAGAGAGAGAGAGAGCAAATAGAGAGACAAATTATGCCCTAGATCCCTTATCGCACATAATATATAGTGAATATATCCCACCACAACATACCAAGTGTTCACTACAGTGAACACAGTATTCACTACTGTACCAGTAAAATAATCATCATACTTTATACCACTTTCTAAGACATAGGGTATAACAGTATATCACTTGTGTGACGATTTATACATAGATGTATTTTGCATAACATTTTTCACACACAAAACACAACATCTCTTC